CAACCTGGTACTAAGCACACAGGCATCTTGTTAAAGTTATCTTATCTTAGCCAGCGCCATATAGATAGATTATATCTATATTGCGCTGATCTTAGGTATCTGAATGGTGGAGGTAAACAATTGTGACATCACTTACGCGACTCTGGGATTTGTAGTCTTTCTAGTTACGTATTTTTCATAGTCTTATATTTCAACAGTTTTACGACAAACTGTGACTTTTTTGACATGGAAATGATTTTTTAAGATTGACAAACATCATATCTGTAATTCATGGCACAATTCAAACGGGATCGAAAGATAAGTTTTCTCTCCCCATTGACTTCAATGCATACTTTTTCCGAAATAAGGTCCCATACCCCGGAAGTAAGTGGGAGGGACTTCGCCACTCTATTGTGATCAACGTCTTGCTAGTGCGTTGCATGATGGTTAGTCATTTTGTCCGACTTGCTCTGGTGGCTCGCCAACATGAGACGTTGAAACCTCGCGGGACAAAGACGCCCGCAGACTTGAGAGCGAGGCGCGGCGAAGTTTCTCTCCACGGGCTGCGGAAGCGAAATGCTTGATGGGAAACGACTTGCTGGTATCTCGAGCTGAGCGCTCACTGGTGGGTTTTACCCATGGATGTATAATAAGAACTGGATACAGCGTGGGAGGCGGGGCCTCATTCATTCCTATGAGAGTTGCTCAATCGCGCATGATGACAAAATGGCCCAACTTTTGAGAGAGCGAAACGTCACAGATTACCCGGCATGCCTGAGAAGTACCCGTATGTGCGCTCATAGCGCATGCGCAACTTTAAACATGCCCCCCAAAATGCTCGTTCACATCAAGCACGTCAATTTGCGTACACGTAACAGCACCGCGCGTTCATGACAGCATGGTAATGGGTTGTTATGATGGATTTGATATTAACGACGAGGCGGCAGTTAGCAGCTAGCGGCTAGCTAGTAATTATGCTAATTTACACATCAGTCGTTATGTACTTTTATATTACGCTGATGTAACAGGATCTAGTGATATCCAAGCAACAGAGCTTAATTTAGCATGATACTTGTGTGGGTTGTAGCCTACATGAAACCACTTGGTAATATATAAAAATATATGTATTTTGAGTTATGATCAATTGTGATTTAAATCTTTATCATTGTTCATTGTATATGTAAGTTATTTATATGTATGTAAGTTTTGTCTCGTGTGTATGTACTGTTTGTGATCGTTGTTGTGTCCTCACTCGTGGCCTGCACCTTGACGTGGTGAGTGGGCTTTAAACTAAGACAGGCCATTTATGTTTGAAATATCATGCTAACAAACCTGCAATTACAGAATTGAATGATAGTGGTTATATATGTTCATGTCTTGCTGACATTATTTGTTATCCTTTTCCGCATAGCCTCTCAGATGGATTCCTGTTTCATCTGTTGGTGTGCCACTGTCCAGTGTCTGCCGGCTGGCTCCCTCTCAGAAAAGTGCCATCTTCTGTCAACAGGAAGAACTGAGCCTCCCAACCAGCATTCTGACCATGAGTCTGACTCACTAAATGAAGCTCAGCGCAAGTTCTTTCAGGAAGACTGGGTATGTATACATTCACTCCGCAGCTGCTTATAATCAGCTCATCACAGGCGTTCTCTTTAACCTATTACATTCACCTCATTCTCCAGCAGCCAATCACCGAGCTGCAGCCAAACTTTAAAATGGTTCTCCTCTCTCCTGCAGTCAGCTGTGATTTCAGGTGTTCATGCTGCCGCCCGCCTCCTCCCCATGCACCTCCTCCCCATCCACCTCTTCTCCACCCACCTCCGTTCATCATATCCAGAGCCAGGAGAGCTAATCCAAAGACCTCATCACACCTCCTCTTCATCCCATCTCCTCATCAAATCCAGATCTTCATCATCATCACCAGTGTCTAGACCCCGGGGAGGTTCCCTATATGCTCACGGCTGCATTTCCCCCTTTAGATATAAGATTTCAGGATCGGGGTCTAATCGCCAAAGACTTAACATTTATCATATGACATGTGTCAATAAATGTTCTTTAAACAAAATGAAGTCTCTCCTGATTTAACTGTCTGGACCCCATCCTCAACTTTTTTTCAAACCACAACATGCCTTCAGAGGGCTTTCCTGTTGATCATAATTGGTGGATCTTTTAATCTAATAATTGCAATCAATATTATATATATTACCTTTTGATCTATATAAATTGTATTTACATTTGTTGTCACTATTTTTTCCACCTAGTTCTACAATGCCAGCCATAAGAGGTATACATTTCTTATTTTTGTGAATTTCTATATAAAATGCTGATTTTCTACCTGAAAATGCTTATGTATTTTTAATTACATTTTCGTAGAGCTTTGACTTTTTCAGCTGAATAAATATTATAACTAGATGGTTTTGTTCAGCATTGCCAGCTTCACTTTTGAGCTTTATGTTGTGCCCAGCATTCTCCTGTGCTCTGAAATCAAAATGTGGATAAGCATAACACAACACTAAAATAAACACTACAATACAACTTGTTATTTGACACACACAAGGTTGTTCATTTGTGTGTATAAATATAAAACACAGGCTATATATATATATATATATATATATATATATATATATATATATATATACATATACAAGTATAATTAATACAACTGTTAATTTGATTAGAGCTTTGACACATATATCTTTATTTATATATGTATAAGTATGACGACTTCCTCGGGCGATATCATGGTATAGCTAATTAATCTGGGTCAAAACGTGTTGTGCCCACATGCAAAGGTTGTAAACTCTGGTTTATCCCTGCGTGGTATTATAGTAATAGCAAACAGCAACGTTCAACTCCTTTAATGGTATATTGCAAGTGCAATAAGAAGCTACAGGGACGTTAATCTACGTCGGTAATATTAACTTTATTTAATACAAGATTTACATCATACAGCCCATGTAGTATAATATTTTACAAATGATGAATTACAGCAAACATGTGCAATATATCCATTATTACAGCTCCGTGGGCTGGCAGTAAGGCGATATGGGTCCGTTCTTATCCATGGGTAAAGATAAACTCATGTGGTGCTGAACACGTCACATCACATGAACGTGCCGGGCGGCGCGGTCCCGTGGGTTAGATGCGCGTTCATAATACAGAGGGAAATAACTCTCAGAATAACGTTATTAGCACATTTTTACAACTTGAGGAACGAATGTTTTTAATAAGGGCTATACAAGTGTTCATACTGGGTAGTTTATTTAGTTTAAAAAAAATTATCCAACGAGTTACAGACCACTCTTTCCCCATGTAAGTCAATGGGAAAAAGTGTTTCCGGGCCTGGCAACCAAAAGGAAGTGTAGTACCGCCGTTTGGCCAGCACGAATATTTTCATCAGAGTCCGGCGCACTTCCTGGGGGCTTGGTTTTACCCCGTGCTGGAGATGAAACTCTCCATTGGCTCGGCTAAAGTGTGTTGTTGTTTTGTGTCAGTTTTACGTCGCTACTTCCATTCACATTTTTCATCATTGTTCCACAATGTTTATCATCATTAAATTAATATCTATATATTTGTATACTATACTTGCACTGCTTACCGTTGTCATACTTTATATATCTTAGCATATTCATACAACACACTGTTAATACTAGGCTAGGCTACTGTGTATATAGTGTATTCATACCCCTCACTGTTTATTCATCATTCAATTCATTCTATATTTTATTCTGTAGATTGTGTACATTACTTTTCACTTTACTGCTTGTTGCACTCCTGGTTAGAAGCTAAACTGCATTTCGTTGTCTCAGTACCTGTAATCTGTGCAATAACAATAAAGTTGAATCTAATCTTGAGCAGGAACAAATGTATTTACTTAGTACATATCTGACATTAACGATTAAACACATTTGTCCATTTTTTATCAATCAATCAATGTTTATTTATATAGCCCAATATCACAAATGTTACATTTGTCTCAGTGGACTTCACAGTTTGTACAGAATATCAGTATGACAATACGACACCCTCTGTCCTTACGTTTCAAGGAAAAACTTCCAGAGAAACCCCACAGTTTAAAGGGGAAATGGGAGAAACCTCAGGGAGAGCAACAGAGGAGGGATCCCTCTCCCAGAACGGACAGACGTGCAATAGATGCCGTGTGCATTTATAAATGCAAACCGAGTCAAGCCGACTCCGGAGGTGGCAGTATGCACCTTAAAGTTGTTTGAAATCCGCCAAAAAACCGAGAGAAGAAGAAGAAGAAGAAGAAGCCGACTCCGAGCTGTCCGACTTCAGGCGAGCTTTTTGAGACCTCCCCCGGCTGCGATCGGCTATTCTCGTCTACTTTCGAGGCGAGCCGCAGCTCGTCTCAAACAAGCCTGTTGATACACTCGTTGAGACTGTAAGGATACACTGGACATGGACGTATTATAGATTGTATTTGAATCATTAGGTTTTAAAAGTTATAACATGCTCTAAAAGCTGAATCCATTGTTATTTTATCTCTCCATTCCTCTGACTGACAGAGAGCGGGAGATGGGAGGCGGGGCTTAAGGGAAAACTCTACTGCGCATGCTCTGTGGGCCCACATCCGGGTACTTCTGCTCTCGACCACGCTCTCAGGCAGGATCCAGTTGTTGTAAAGCTTCCATCAGTCGGAGTCTCTATCAGCTCTCATTCATATATATCTGTGAACAGAACCCGTTTCTCTCAGGAGAAGAAGAGACGAGAGGAGCTTTAGAACAATTCCACCTCTTCATCCGGGTCCTTATCTGCTTCTAGCTGCTCCATGCTAGGTGGCTAATGCTAGTCGATGAACATCAGCGAACTGAAGAACAGAGAGGAGCAGAAACACTGGGTAATACTGAGTACTTTTACTATAATACTGTGTACTTTTACTCCTAATATTACTGAGTACGTTTACTATAACACTGAGTACTTTAAAACTGATCATACTTAATACTTTTTTTATTTGGAGCTGTTCATCGATCATTCCTCACAGCAGGCTCACCTCGTTAAAGATGGCGACCCAGAGTGGGATGAGAGAGTGCTGTGTACGTTTTCACGGAATCATGGCTAAATGACAACATCCCAGACTCTGCCATTCAGCTCGACCGGCTAACATGCTACCGCTCAGACAGAGCTACGGTTAGCGGGGGAAAGGCGGTGTGATTGTTCACATCAGTGATGCTTGGTGTAGGGACGCTGTGGTTGTCTACAAACACTGTTCACTTCTGGCGGAGTTTATGTTCGTGAAGTGCAGGCCTTTCCATCTTCCCTTACCCTTTCCATCTTCCCTTACCCTAACCGGCTAGCAGGATGGAGTTAATTCCTTCCCACCTCTGCTGCTAAGCCACTTCTTAGCTGTAGATTGGTTTTGTGTTGACTGTAGTGTTAATACTTATTTCAGAGACCCAGCAGGAGAAGGAGCACTGAGAGCAGCATGGAGGAGAACAAAGAGACCCCCAGAACTCAGGTCAGTGTTCACTTCTTCACAATATACAGTCCCCTCCAAAACTATTGTAACAGCAAGGCCAATTGCTTTATTTGTGCTGTAAACTGAAAACGATGTGGTTTGACATCAAAAGGGTCAGTATTTCAGCTTTTCATTCCAGGTATTTACATCTACATCTGTTAAACCAACACACTCTCACTCCCTAAGCGTCCAGGAGCGACGCTTGGTCAGGGTCCCGTGGCGTCCAGTTGTGACGCTCCGAGGCTCCTTCAGCTTCATAAACGGACGCAAAGACCTTTCAACTGATTGCAATGTATTCCCATCGGCGGCGGTATTTGACGCTTAGGGAAGCACGGCATTAGTTTGTGTCGGAGGCTGTTAAAGGCAATGTGAGCGTCCATTCCCATTGGATAACGGAGAATTGTACACACAGAAGTAAGTATTCCCCTTACTGTCGATTGATTTGACAGAGATATCTCCACTACTCATCAACTCAAAAACACCATATTATCTTGTTAATTAAACGACATTGATAGGTTTCAGTGTGTGTGCAATGCTTTTGTCGCGTTTTCCCCTTCAATTCTGAGAAACAAGTCGTTTTCTATGAGTTTTGCCGAAGACATTACATTACCCACAATCCTCTGTAGCAACCATAGACTGTATAAAACAATTAAATAATACATTATTCCGAGTGTGCTTGCTTTTCTCTTTGAAAGTCATCACATAACGGCATTGTAATACACGTTTCGGCTGCATTAAATATGACATATCTGCCGTAGTTGACTCTGCCCCGATGACAAGACTTCTAGACAAACAGGAACTGCCGCCAAAACTGAAAACTTGACGTGGATCTTAAATATATCAGCAATTAAACAACATCTTACATTTCTTTTCACACAATACGTCTCCTTGCAGTATCAACACTAATTCGGCTGACTTTTATATTTGATCCAATTCGTAGATAGGCTGTATTTACGCCATAACGGTGCACAGCTGATAGAAAGGGACACCTACTGGTTAAAGCACGTTATTGCATTTTATAATTAGATATTAATAGGAGGATGTGCAAAACAGACATAAGGCTTTATCTAAACATTAAAGAATACTTTAGGTTAAGGTCTTCTTTTGAATAAGAAAAAAGCTTTGGGGGTATAGAAGATGAATATTTGATGGTCACACATGCAGAGCACACAGCACACACAGTGACATTTGTATCTACAGATAAATATTAAGCCTGACAAAGTACTTAACGTCTAATATATTGCTTTCCTGCAATGTTAACTATGTTGAAGCACTTATTTTAACTGATATTATACATATGTATTATACTCTTATAAGATGTATGTAGATAGTATAAGAAATGTGCAGAATATGACAATGTAATGGTGGAGGTACACACATATTGATAGATGTCTTGTAATGCACTGTTGAGGAACCTGCGACCCAAGTTTTTCATTCATTGCATAACTACACCGTAGTTGTGTATAATAAGATATGTCAATAAACCTTAGAAAATCTTGAAATCTTGAATGGGATGTGCAAAATAGTCATTATATACAGTCTTTAATTAACTATTAGTAGAGAATAACGACAAGTAAAGAATATACTTTATAGGGATCCTATTAATATCTAATAATACAATTATAAAATGCAATAATGTGCTTTAACCAGTAGATGTCCCTTTCTATCAGCTGTGCACCGTTATGGCGTAAATACAGCCTATCTACCAATTGGATCAAATATAAAAGTCAGCCGAATTAGTGTTGATACTGCAAGGAGACGTATTGTGTGAAAAGAAATGTAAGATGTTGTTTAATTGCTTATATATTTAAGATCCATGTCAAGTTTTCAGTTTTGGCGGCAGTTCCTGTTTGTCTAGAAGTCTTGTCATCGGGGCTCTATAAATAGTTAACTACGGCAGATATGTCATATTTAATGCAGCCGAAACGTGTATTACAATAACGTTATGTGATGACTTTCAAAGAGAAAAGCAAGCACACTTGGAATAATGTATTATTTAATTGTTTTATACAGTCTATGGTTGCTACAGAGGATTGTGGGTAATGTAATGTCTTCGGCAAAACTCATAGAAAACGACTTGTTTCTCAGAATTGAAGGGGAAAACGTGACAAAAGCATTGTACACACACTAAAACCTATCAATGTCGTTTAATTAACAAGATAATCTGGTGTTTTTGAGTTGATGAGTAGTGGAGATATCACTGTCAAATCAATCGACAGTAAGGGGAATACTTACTTCCGTGTGTACAATTCTCCGTTATCCAATGGGAATGGACGCTCACATTGCCTTTAACAGCCTCCGACACAAACTAATGCCGTGCTTCCCTAAGCGTCAAATACCGCCGCCGATGGGAATACATTGCAATCAGTTGAAAGCTCTTTGCGTCCGTTTATGAAGCTGAAGGAGCCTCGGAGCGTCACAACTGGACGCCACGGGACCCTGACCAAGCGTCGCTCCTGGACGCTTAGGGAGTGAGAGTGTGTTGGTTTAACAACTGAGAAGATAGCACATTTTGTTTACACCCACCCATTATTCAAGTGAACAAAAGAATAGGAACAGATACTTAAAATAATGTGAAACGTGAATAATACTTAGTATTTAGTTGCAAATCATTTGCTTGCAATAACTGCATCAAGCCTGCGACCCATTGACATCACCAAACGTTTGCATTCTAGATTGGTTTTGTGTTGACTGTAGTGTTAATACTTATTTCAGAGACCCAGCAGGAGAAGGAGCACTGAGAGCAGCATGGAGGAGAACAAAGAGACCCCCAGACCTCAGGTCAGTGTTCACTTCATCACAATATATTCCTATCACTGTTATCCCTTACACTGGGGCACATTTGGGTTATTTAACCAGTTGAGCCCCGAGCCTGTTTTTCAGGCATCAGGCTCGAAAATGACATTCCCAGAACAATTGACTATATCTTCACTTCTAAAAGGGGTAAATTATTAATCTTTTTTCTCAAAGCAATGATAAACCTGTGAGTTGGATGTAGAAAAGTCAGAATCAATATAGAATTATTTTAAAGTAAATTCAGATTGAACATAGTAAAAAAGAAAAAGGTAAATGATAGTGTCCGTCCAAAAAAAAAACATTACTTATAGTGAAAACTACTCTTGAATGATGGGATAGTAGACTAAAAGCTTTAGGAATCCAAATTATAACATATAAGTAACCCTGTATCAAGATTGATGCAAAACAAGTGACATTTGACCTTTTTAGAGAGATTTAGAAAAGAAAACTCACTTCTGAGGATATTTGGCTGCATTTTCCATATCTCTGGCCCCCCTCGGTCGATTTTGATGATTGTCACCTCTTTTTAACCGTTAGAGCCAATAGAATCGAGGGGAAGTTCCTCAAATCCATCTAGACATTACCCATTGGTGAATGAGTGATGCATAGCCAGAATGCCCAAAACCGGAAGCTGTCATACACTCTCGTAGCAGCTAAGTTTGTTCTGTGCTAAGTGGGTTAGCATTGTTTCGCTCAGGGCTAATTCAGAGCCTTTGTTATTTCGTTTAGCTAAAAATGGTTAATATTGTCTGATAACTGAGTTTCTTCCTGTTAAGTGGATATGACACATTCATAGTTTACTTTACAGGTTAAGCCCGGTACTGGGGGCAAAACGCATCATCTGCAGGAAACAGCGTCTGAGGGCTTCTTAATATTTAATAAACTATGAATGTTTCATATCCATGTAACGGGAAGGAACTCAGCTAACTGATGATGTGAACAATTTTTAGAACAAAAAAAAACCACAAGACTAACGCTGAGCGAAAAAATGCTAACGCCGTTAGCACAGAAATCGCGGTATAAAACCCTTATTACTTATCGTAAATGCAAATCCAACCCATCGATTAGCATCATGAGATTACACAGACATCACACCACGTAGCATTAGATAGCCAACACAGCAATATGTCTTACCTTTGTTGTTATCTGATCAAAAATTGTCGTCAATGGCATTAAAACGATAAAAACGCTGCTGAAGGTTAATCCATAGGTTAATCCAATGTGTCTGTGTCACTTTGAAATGATTTCTGATAATCCATTAACAATAACCCTAGTTTTAAGTTTTCAGATTTCAGAGCGTAAGATTTCGTTTTTGGGCAAACTGCGTGCGCATAGCCCCCACTTCTCAATGGTAACATTGGTGTGTGTATGTGGAAATTCCCCTTCGATTCTATTGGCTCTAACGGTTCAAAAGAGATGTCAATCATCAAAATCGACCAATGGGTTCCAGAGAAACGGCAAAGACGCCCATTTCCACCCAAATGACCCCAGAGGTGGAGTTTTTTTTTCTCTAAACCTCTCTAAAAAGGTCAAATGTCACTTGTTTTGCATCAATCTTGATTCAGGGTACTTATTATATGTTGTACTTTGGATTCCTAAAGCTTTTAGTCTACTACCCCATCATCCAAGGGTGGTTTTCACTATAAGTAAAAAAAAACTTTTGGGTGGACACTATAATTTTCATTTTTTTTTACTATGTTCAATCTGAATTTTCTTTAAAATAAAAACATCTATATTGATTCTGACTTTTCTACATCCAACTCACAGGTTTATCATTACTTTGAGAAAAAAGATTATTAATTTTCCCCTTTTAGAAGTGAAGAAATGGTCATTTGTTCTGGAAATGTCATTTTTGAGCCTGAGACCTGAACAACAGGCTTGGGGCTTAACAGGTTAACATTTAAAAACCTATTAATGTGTCATACCCACTTAACGGGAAGAAACTCAGCTATCAGACAATATTAACAATTTTTAGCAAAACGAAACATAGGGTTAATAACTAAGGCTCTGAATTAGCCCTGAGTGAAAAAATGCTAACACACTTAGCACAGAACTCACGTTAAAATACCCTTATTACTTATCGTATCTGCACAAACAAGATATCTATTAGCAAGCTGAGATTCCACAGATTCTACAGGTATTAGTATCATTACTGACCGATCTGAACTCGCGACAAGAGAAGCTAACAAAGACATAACACCACGTAGCATTAGGTAGCCAACACAGCAATATGTCTTACCGTTGTTGTTTTCTGATCAAAAGTTGTCTTCAATGGCATTAAAACGATAAAAACGCTGCTGAAGGTTAATCCATAGGTTAATCCAATGTGTCTGTGTCACTTTGAAATGATTTCTGATAAACCATCAGCAATAAACCTAGTTTTCAGATTTCAGAGCATAAGGTTTCGCTTTGGGCAAACTGCGTGCGCATAGCTCTCAATTCTCAATGGTAACGTGTGTGTGTATGGAAAATCCCCTTCGATTCTATTGGCTCTAACGGTTTAAAAGAGATGTCAATCATCAAAATTGACCAATGGGTTGCAGAGAAACAGAAAATTCACCCATTTCCACCCAAATGACCCCAGAGTTGTTGTTTTTTTGTTGCTAAACCTCTCTGAAAAGGTCAAATGTCACTTGTTTTGCATCAATCTTGATACAGGGTACTTATTATATGTTATAATTTGGATTCCTAAAGCTTTTAGTCTACTAACCCATCATTCAAGGGTGGTTTCACTATAAGTAATGGTTTATTTTTGGACGGACACTATCATTTAAATTGTTTTACTATGTTCAATCTGAATTTACTTTAAAATAATCTATATTGATTCTGACTTTTCTACATCCAACTAGTGTTCATTTCGTTGACTAAAACTATGACGAAATATGTTCGTCAACAACCTTTTTTTCCATGACTAAAACGAGATGATGACGAGACGGCACAGACGGCAGTAAACAATAACTGTAACGAAATCAACATGCAATATCGTTGGCGAAAAGTGACGAGACGAAAATGTAGTTTACTAAATAAAAACTGCCAAAATCTCTCTTTAGACGAAATATTATCAAAGATAACGTTATGTGTCTGATAGTCAGTTTTTCTCCCAGCAGATCCATTTCCGGTGCTGTGGCTGGGCAGCAGCTGTGTGTCTGTGCTGCGCGAGGCGGTACATTTGAATTACACCAGGCCAGCGGCACACTGTGAACTGTCAGGAAGACTCGGGTCTAAATGGGAACAACAGGGCTTGGCAGTGGTCGCGTTAACCGAATACCCCCCGATTAGGACAAGATATAATCTTATTGTGAAATAAGTTTGACTAAAATGACAAATTATTGGTTTTGGCTAGACTAGTTTGACTGAAATGTTCTATATAATCTGATGACTAAAAAAGACTCAACCGTTTTCATTGACAAAAAGTAGACTAAAATAATTAGTTTTCTTTGACTAAAATAAGACTAAAATGCTCAGACTTTTAGTCGACTAAAATTTGACTAAATAAAAACAGGATGAAGGTGACTAAATATGACTAAAACTAAAAAGGAAATTTAACACGGGACCAAGACTCGATTAAATAAAAAAATAGCTGACGAAATTAACACTACATCCAACTCACAGGTTTATCATTGCTTTGAGAAAAAAGATGATTAATTTTCCCCTTTTAGAAGGGAAGTTATTGTCATTGAGACCTGAAGAACAGGCTTGGGGCTTAACAGGTTAACTGGTTAAGGACTTTAAACCTGTACTTTTATTTAATGAGAAAACAAACTTGAAAATTGTGGGGTTTATTTTACAGACTCTTATTTTTGTTTTAAGATATATCTGCACCAAGGCCTCTCACTGACTCTTTATCTGTTTGTCTTTTTTAGAAACAGAGAAGAAGAAAGGAACCCAAACCATACAGCTGTACCCAGTGTGGGAACACCTTTTCTCAGAAAGGTCATCTTAAGATGCACGAACACATTCATACTGGAGAGAAACCATACAGCTGTACCCAGTGTGGGAACACCTTTTCTCAGAAAGGTCATCTTAAGATGCACGGACGCATTCATACTGGAGAGAAACCATACAGCTGTGAAGAGTGTCGGAAAACTTTCAGTACATCAAGTGAACTCACAGTGCATCGTCGTAATCACACGGGAGAGAAACCATTCTGCTGTGACCAATGTGGGAAAACCTTTTCTGATAAAGGTCATCTTAAAATCCACGAACGCATTCATACTGGAGAGAAACCATATAGCTGTGAAGAGTGTGGGAAAACATTCACTACATCAAGTCATCTTACAAGCCATCATCGCGTTCACACTGGAGAGAAACCATACAGCTGTACCCAGTGTGGGAACACCTTTCCTCAGAAAGGTAGTCTTAAGATGCACGAACGCATTCATACTGGAGAGAAACCATACAGCTGTACCCAGTGTGGGAAAACCTTTTCTCAGAAAGGTCATCTTTCATCCCACCAGCGTAGCCACACCGGAGAGAAACCATACAGCTGTGAAGAGTGTGGGAAAACATTCACTACATCAAGTCATCTTACAAGCCATCATCGTATTCACACTGGAGAGAAACCACACAGCTGTGAAGAGTGTCGGAAAACGTTCAATACATCAAGTGAACTCACAGTGCATCGTCGTAGTCACACGGGAGAGAAACGATTCTGGTGTGAGCAATGTGGGAAAACCTTTTCTCATAAAGTTAGTCTTAAGATGCACGAACACATTCATACTGGAGAGGAACCATAGAGCTGTGAAGAGTGTGGGAAAACATTCAATTCATCAAATCACCTCACATGCCATCATCGTATTCACACTGGAGAGAAACCATACAGCTGTACTCAGTGTGGGAAAACCTTTTCTCAAAGTAGAAGAGTGTCGGAAAACTTTCACTACATCACTTGAGCTCACAGTCCATTGTCTGGAGAGAAACCATTTAGCTGTGACCAGTGTGACAAAGCATTCACAAGATCTGATACACTAAAAGTCCATCAGCGCACTCACTCTGCCTCCATCTGATCCTTTTCTGAGTCAAGCTAGCATTCCTCCTGCTTTTCTCTAAATGGAAAGCTGACCAACAGTGACTTTACGTTCTAATAAACATGTAGTTTATGGACTACTTTCAGACCTCCCAAAATCCTGCTGTCCTCACACACTTAGCTCTATATGAGAGTGCTCTGGTTAATAAAAACGTTTTTTTTATTTGGTTAAACCAGCCTTTTCACATTTTTTCTGTGTGTAACGTTCATTGAATCGTTTTTTTTCCCATATTTTGCTTCAATTGAAAGGTTTGAGTTGCTTTTTGGTACTTTTTTTTTTATTTACTTCAAGTGATGTTCAAAACATTATGACACATTAGGTATGAGAAGTGATAAAGTACATTTGTGAAGTTCTTGTTTTGTTTGAACAAACCATGTTCTAGTGAAACTCTGATGTTATTTGACTTCATTGTGATGGCCATTAGTTTTCTGTGTTCTCAGTAAATGTGATTCTTGCTGCTGTAATAATCTGAGCTGTAAACTTAAAACTTGTTTTCTAGTTTCTCATTAAATTTGTCGACACAAAGAGACTCTTTGACTCATCATTAGAAACTGTTTAATACCTTATAATGACTTCAAATCACTTTGCATTATATTTTTAAGCTTGTTCTTGGTTTACTAGCAACAAATAATAGAACGAGAATTAAAATATATATACATATAGTATTCTGATTAGTTTTATTTATATTTTCGTTTATCGTTTTCCCCTTTTATTATTTTGTATAGGTATTATTATTATAGATTTGAATAATTATTGATATTTGCTTTAAGTCCAATATATTCATCAAATTATCACTTTACTTATTTATCAATCTGTGTATTTATTTATCCCTTTTTCCCATTAATGTATATATTAAATTAGATTTGCATTTAGTCTTTCTCCCTTTTTATTTATTTTCTTTACTGTAGAAGTGTCCTTGGGTTTATGAAAGGCACTATCTACATTTCAGGTATTATTATTAAATCATTTAAATTGTAATAAAAGGACCAAAGAAATAAAACAATTATAAGAAAACTATTACAACATTAAAATATAGCAGTATCTAAATGTAATATAGATATACTCAAAAATAATATTAATACGCATAGTATAATAAATGTGCAGTATTGGTATGCCGAGGAAAGCCTTGCAGATATTCAAGAAGGGAACTTTGTGTACAATGTGCAAAAAAAGTCCAAGCTAACTTATTAAATATAGAGAAAAATAAAAACACGTTAGTTATAGAATAAAAAGACAACAGAGTACACATCCATTATTAAAATTAGTAACAACTAGCGGCAATTTAAAAAAAGAAAATAAACATATTACAGTGTTGAGACAGTTATAAAACAAATTGTGAAATGTATAAAACAATGTTTGTTTGTTATATAAAAGTGATAACTGCAGATTTAAGAAGGGCAGGAACTGGATATGAGATGTTTAGGGAACATCTGTGGATTGTAAAGTTTGCATGTCATATACATATATTCTATATGTACTTTTAATGCCATTAATGTTTACAAATAATGGGAAAAAATGTTTTACATGTTGTAACCGAGGAATATTTTAAAGTGTTTTATCATGTAACCAGTTTATTAATTGTATTCTCCGTGTACGTAAAGAAGGCTGTGAGATTTGAAAAAACTCCAAAAAGAGAGTAAGTGAGTCTGAAGTTCAGAAATAGTTATTACAAATATATCCTCATTATATTTTCCTACTGTGCGTAATTTTCACTGAATCATCTCTATTTTACATTTATGTGTTTCCCCTTATAGAGCATATTTGTTGTACTTTGTTTTAATACCAGCTACCATGTTTAAAACACTGTCAGATCTGTGACGAGATCAAACATGAATAATAACAAGTGTAAACATTTGTGAGTCTGTATCTCATCTCAGTTCAACAACAAACTTCTAATATTTGTTATTTAATCTTCATATTCTCTGTTTTCATTTCTCTTTTCTGAATGTGTTTTTTTTATACTGTTGGGGTTTTTCATTCCTGCATGTAGCACTTCAAATGATTTAACAAATGTTAAGTTGAAGTACCTGCAGCATTAATCTGGGGGGGGGGGGGGGGGTCGACGAGAGGACATTAAGGCCCCGCTCACACGGGACCGTTTGCGTTTATGCACAGTATGCGTATTCAAAAAAGTCTTCCGTTCACATGCATTAGTTTCATTTAACGTGTCTGTTCAAACGAGGCCGCGGGAAACGCTGTAGTACATATGCCGGGACTGTAAGTGGCGCTGTAACTTCCGCCAAAATACACCAAAAGCCGCGAAGAAGAGCAGCCCAGCAGCCCCGCCACAATGTTGCCATGGCTACCCTTCTGTTTAAGCCCCGAAACTGAAACTGAAACTGAAAGAAACCGAATCTGTGGATATTGCATCCCGACCAAGAAGGTCTCCGTGGAGAGGACGGCTCAGAAAGAGAGATATTCTCTACAAACACCGGGTGAGATGCACCTTTGTCAATATAATGGATCAATGCATGAAATCTGACTCTGTTTATTTTGTTTAAGGAGTATATTGGGCGTTAACAATTCTGGTTTGCCTTTTATAATATTATTTCATTCAAGAACCCCTTGTGCGTTTAATTAACACAGCTATTTTTGATAGTTGCTGCAGGAGAGGCGGGGCTATGGTTATTTTTTCAGGAAATATTCGTATCGAGGTGATTACACGGACTCGGTTGACCCCCCAGAGCGTTTCGTTTGCAAATCTATCCACCTTGGGACCCGTTATTGTTTGTGGGGTCAGTTTCTATCGGCCTCGTGTAAATAATAGGGCTATACGCACGCGAAACTATGCAGATACAAGCAGTTTTCTCCTCGTGTAAACGGCGCCTAAAGGTGGGATAAACCATAGAGGTAGAGGAGGGGAGGAGGGGTTCACACCTCCATCCTAATGTTTCTGAAGGTTTCACGTCAAGTGTAAGAGGAGTCATTGCAGAACAATTGCTTCACATTTACATTTCTAAATGCATGCTCCATACATCTGAGACCCTCAGATCACACGTCTGTCTCTCCCAAGAGTGTTATTCCACGTTTTGGGTCAATTCAAAGGTTTGAGTTGCCTTATTGGTACTTGTTTTTGTATTTACTTCAAGTGATCTTGAAACATTAAGACACGTGAGGTATGAGAAGTGATAATGTACATTTGTGACGTTCTTGTTTTGTTAGTGAAAGTCTGATATGACACTTTCTCATGTTCATTCTTTGACTTCATTGTGACGGCCGTTAGTTCTCTGTGTTCTCAGTAAATGTGATTCTTGCTGCTGTAATAATCTGAGCTGTAAACTTAAAACTTGTTTTCTAGTTTCTCATTAAATTTGTCGACAAAGAGAGACTCTTTGACTCATTATTAGAAACTGTTTAATGTTTTATAATAACTTACAATCACTTTTCAATAGTTATTTGGAGCAATGGTCACAAAACCACAATTTCTTCTAGGATAAAAACATTTTACTTATTTTTAACAGATTTGCTTTTATTCTTTTTTCAGTTTGTATTTCCCCATGTGTTGCTGTAGTAATCCATGAGTGCTCACAATGCAACTCTGAGAGCCAAGCTAGCTGTTTCCTCCTCCTGATGTCCTGAGAGCTGTATTGTTTAAAGTGGACCTATCATGCTATATTTGAATAATATAGTGTAGGACCATACCTATATAAGGCATATTTATACTTTTTTTTTTCAAAATACCAAACAGATCATGCATTTTAGCCATGCCTCATTTCGCTCAATTTGCACTTTTTTACCCCTGTTTTTGCAAGGGTTGATTCTGTGAGCAACAGCACCATCTAGAGGCCTTGCATATGTACTACAGCGTCTCCAGCGCTTTCGAACGGCAATGCCGTGGTTGTCTCCTCCTGATTGGTGGAGTTGGCCCAATAGCCGTAGGGCCACCGTCCTGACGTCAGGACAGTGTTCAAATCTGGATCAGTTTTTATCAGATCCGTTGCAGCCCCTTTTTTAGAGATTTGGGTATGGAGGAAAATAGAGAGGGTTGTGTTTTCTGACACTTGGTGAGTTCCCTGGAACACAGGGGACACATATTCATGTATAAAAGACGTACCAAAGTGCATTTTGCATGATAGGTCCCCTTTAAGTCTTTCTAAATGGAAATATGACCAACAGTTATTCATTTTCTAACCAGCATTCACACTATGCCAACACAAGGCCACAGAGATGCTGCTTCTCCTGATTTAATTCATGTTTGTAATCCCAGGCTTTCTGATTGAATAAACACACTTTAAATCACTTTATTTGAACAGTTTGTGTTCTTTATTCAATAAAACAAGGAAATGACGTGTTTGTGATCTCCTGTAGAACATAACCAATATGCAGGAATGTGAGTCTGTTGTTAAGGCCTTCTTTCCTTTAGTACAGTCTGATCATATAAACAAACAGAATCAAACTGAAAACATGTGTCATTAGTTCTTCTTTAAGACCAGAACAGACTGCTTACTGGGAACAGGAACTATCATTTAGACCAGAACAGACTGCTTACTGGGAACAGGAACTATCATTTAGACCAGAACAGACTGCTTACTGGGAACAGGAACTATAATTTAGACCAGAACAGACTGCTTACTGGGAACAGGAACTATCCTTTAGACCAGAACAGACTGCTTACTGGGAACAGGAACTATAATTTAGACCAGAACAGACTGCTTACTGGGAACAGGAACTATCATTAAGACCAGAACAGACTGCTTACTGGGAACAGG